AAAAAAAAAAAAAAAGAGGAAACAAAAAGATGAAAATCTAAATTTTCTGAAAAGTAAAAATGACTATTTTTAAGATATTAAAATTTAAATAAAAATAGTTCAGTACAAAAAACCGAAAATGAAATAATTTTTTTAAATACTATTCCTGTTCAAAAAAACTGAAAGGGAATAATCTTAAAAAATCATTTTAGTTCAATAAATTGGAAAAATAATTTAAAAAAAATGAATAATAAAAAATAATGAAGAAAAAAAAATTCAGGATCCAAAAAAAAACTGGAATATAAAAAGAAGAAATTTTTAGTCTTAGTTCCAAATGGAATAAAAAAAATTATCATAACTGTAAACCGTTCGAACTTTATACAGTTTTCGTACAACTCGCATAATAATAATTATCAGGACGCGATAATTAAAAAAAAACATGTAATATGTGATTTTATATAATATTCACAAATTTTTAATTCATACCATAATTATATGGAATTACTTTATATTAATCTTATTCCTCAAATAATACTTTTTTTTTGCTTATTCGAAATACATTTACTTTCAAATTATCTCTGAATCCACATCATTTTAATTTTACTATAATAGAACATTTTATAAAAAGATACTTATAATGAAAATTTTGCTAAGTATCAATTATTTTATATCAACGTATTTTAATTATACAAGTATTATATCTCTATATTATTTCATATAAGTTATTCTAGATTTAATTTGTAAGAATAGATTTATTTAAATTGTTAGTTGCTTACATTATATATATTTAAATATGCAATTAATGTGCATTTTCAGGGTGTGCAAATCAATTTTTTCATGCACAAAATATTGCATATTTTTTACATATAAAAAATTTCCTGATGTAGTTAAACTAATTTGAAAATAAAACTTCATTCAATATTATTTTCATCATCTTGATTCATTTCATTAAGATCTATAAAATAAATAAACAAATAAATATATATAAATAAAGTAACAATAAAATAAAACATTAAAGAATAAATATCTTACCTGATTCATCTAATTGACAATCAAAACCTTCTGTAACTATAAATCAATTAAATTAATATTAATAAAAATATTATCTTATTAATCATATAAATATAATTTACTTACATAATGCTGATTGAATAGCACATGTTTATAGAAAATATACAATAATTAGTAACGTACTAAATATAAATTTTTATTAAAAAGTAAATTAAATTAGATTACCTGAATTTACTGGTTCTGGAAGATTTTTGAAATTTAGAAGTCTACTAGTATATATTGCTTGTGGATGTGTTTGAATGCTACTAGATCTTTTTTCACTTGTTCTGTTTAATTTGATTTTATCATCATATTCATCTACTTGAGATTCACTATCTTTATTCATATCATTATACCGTTCATTTAATTTTTGATACAATTCCTTAGCAGTTGGTCTATTTTCTGCTTTAGCATCCCAACATTTATTAATCAAATCTGCAAGTAATTTTGGTGTATATTTAAAAATATTTGGTCTAAGTCCTTTACATATTTTAATAGATAAAGCATAATCATGAGGAATATTATTATAAGGAGTTTCTTCAGATATATATTCATTCATCATTATTCCAAATGAATAAATATCAGATGCTTTTGTATATTGATATCCACGTAAAACTTCTGGTGCCATATAGGGTAATACTCCATAAATTCCTTCTTGTTTAGCTGATTGCTTTTCACTATTTGCTGGTTGACACATTCCTAAATCACTTATATATGGATACTCATGACATAATATATTGCCTGAATGAAAATCTTTATGAATTTTTCCAGCATTATGAATATCTAGAAGTCCTCTTGCAATTTGTCTGAATTCATAAATTTTTGAATAATAATTTGATTCATTATTGAGATAGTAATTTCTCAAATTTCCATCATCACAATATTTTAAAACCATCATATAATCTTTGGTATTTGGATCTTGAGTTATTCCATAACATTGAATAACATCATAAAGATAAATCTGAAGATGAGATTTAATCTAATAAAATAATGAAAAGTGAAAAGTTTTTAATAAATATATAAATAACATATAAATAAAAATTAAAATAAATAACTTATATTTCTTATTTTAATTACCTCATTTAAAAATTCTGTACTTAAACAAGAAGAATTATCCAAACTTTTTAATGCAAATTTTATATTCTTACCATACTTTTTCCATTTTTGATTTTCAATATCCCAAGAATCAATATATCCTTCAGGCCATTTAGCAGAATAAATTTTACCAAATCCACCTTTGGTAATATAAGTAATATCTTTAAAATTTTCAAAAGGTATCCATTCAATATATTTTTTATAGTGCACAGCATTAAGTTGTGATTGTTGTATAAATTCATCGATATCTTTATTTCCACTAGTCCAATTTTTAAAGTTATCCTTAAATCTTTTAGCATTACAAGGTTGACACCATTTTATTCCTGTGCCAGGTTCATTACATTCTCCACATATTCCATATACTTGTTTTCTTTTTTCTAAGTCATTCATATAAACTACTTTTTTATTTGACTCTTCTATTAATTCAGTAGTTGAATCTATAGTAGAATTTGTAATGACATGTTCCTTTTATAATAAATAATTAAAAAAAAAACTATTACTATTTAAAAAATAATGTTATTAATAATAATGATAAAGTGAACTGTTTTTACCTGATAATCATCATTGTATTCCTTCCATAAACTTTTAAGATTTTCTTTAGAATTCATTTTGGATATTTCCATACGATTTGGGTTGTATATATATAGATTGAATTTATTTATTAAATTCAAAGATAACAAATAACGTTACTTTAATAAATGAAGCGTAAAAAAAAAAACGGAGTTCGGGTAAATTTATTCGCAAATAAACTCTCGTGCAACATGTGTAACATTTATTTAAAATTTCTATAAATAGTATAGTATAAACCTGGGTTACAATTGATCGGCATAAATGAAAGCAATCATAGAATAAAAAATTTTCGCTAATGGGTTAAGTTATTATTTTAATAGTCAATATTATACTTTGATAATAATAAATTAACTAAAATTATTTGCAAAAATTCATATAGTGAGGTTAATAAAGTTAATAATTTCTAACCCAGCCCTGTAATTAATAAACTACTTTTACTTAAATGAAATAATCCTAGTAGGCATTGAAAAGAATGGATGGACTTTTCTTTTGAATATAAAATCGTAAAATTAAAATTGGTTTATTTAGTTATTAAATATTATCATGTAAAAAATTTTTTTTACTTAAATGAATTATCCATTATAAATTTCTTATTTTTCCATTTTGTCGATCCGTAGCGGAATTGTCATGTGATACCGATGAATATGATGAATATGATAGTAAACAAAAATTATTATAAACTCTAATTTTCACAGTTTACAAAAATTTTAATTAATTATTGAAACAACAAATAAATATTTATGAAATTTTATTAGAATTAAAATCAAATAAATTCATCATCGTTATACTACAGTACAATTCGGAAAAAATAATTTTTGGATCATTATTTCTGTTAATTATAAATATGTATTCTAACTAAAGATGAAAATGTATTGAATAAATTTGTAAAAAAAAAAAAAAAAAATTTTTTTTCTTGCATTTGACTTTAAAATCAATTAAACTAAATATAGTTTGATAGATAAATTAAAAAAGTTGAATTTTTATTATTCAAATTTTGTGGCCTTTGGTCGCAGTTTTTTAATTTTAGCATCGTTAACTAAAAAAAAAAAATAATTCTCAAATAATAAGGATCAAAATAATAAGGAAATATTAATATAGTATTCTCTATAAATTTATTATAAATCTTTTAGTTTACATCTTTATAAAATTGATTGTTACGATACTTTTTTTAAAAAATAAAAAAAAAATTGAATTTTGTATTAAGAATTTTAAAATTATTTCCTTTCGAAATTGCATTTGTTCGCAACTTGATCAGCAATCGCATATTATTATCAAACTGTATATAAAAAAAAATTTTTTAATTAAACTAATTAAAATAGTAAAAAAAAAATTTTCATTTTCCCAGCTGTGGATATAACAGCACATGAATTTGCGAATTCATAGATTTGGATTTTCCCATGACTGGGGTAATTACCAAAATTGACGATATTAATGTGTTACAAATAATATTTCTAAAATAAAAGAACCATTTACAAATAAAGATGAGCAACATGGTACAAGATTTCTGGGGAAAATAACTTTATCGATTGATTCTATAATTAGCAACTAACTGAAAAACCAAAGTAAATAGTATATTTTTTGAAATCTAAGCCAAGAATTTCTTTCTTATATGAATATTAAGTTTAGTTTCTTTATCAGTTTAACTTGACGAAATAAATGGCTTAGATTGATCCGCAAATCCGAAAGGTTTGATTGATAGAAGTATAATTTTTATTAAAATTAAAATTGTGATTGAACGTGAACTTCAATGTTTATTTTCTTAGAAAGTAAACAAATTGTACAGTACTGACTTATTCTCATAAAGATTTTATGTAAGTCCATTCCAAATAAAGCCACGTCATATTTCCAAATCAAGTTGTATATAGTCCATCATTCACAAACGAAAATTTCTAATAATGTATATATGAAAGGTTTTGACTAAGATCTAATTTAAGAAAAAAAAAAGTATAAATACGTTTTTTAACGATATTTTTTTCTCACATTAGTCAGATAAGTCAGCCACATATAATTGAATCAGGTGACAATACATATTTCATTAAACAATCTATTCTGCTGATTGTTATTCCAAATCGGGCCATAAATGAAAAAATCATATACAGACAGTAATTACATTACGATGCTGAGACGTTGCTTTAGTTAAAATGACTAAATATTGAAATATTAAATTGAAAAAAAAAATATTTGATAACAAATAATAAACTCATCACTTTTTTTTTATTTTTTGATTCTAGATCAAATAAATCCTCTCTTAATCTCTTGTTTCTAAAAATAAATAAGAAAAAATAGTTATTGTGACCCTTGCAAAGCCACATCGAGTAATTACCATTTTTATCGATGTATAAACATTTAATTTACACATAAAAATTCTAATATTTTTTAACATATTTTTTATAATAAAGCAGTAAAATACTTTTATTCAAAAAAAGTCTCTTTTTTTTAAAGAAAAAAATATGTATACATATCTGAACGTACATATATTATAATAAACTACGTAAAAAAAAAACTATTTAAATTCTTTGCACTGCAATGTAACACAAAAACAAAAAATCAATTTGAGCTTTCTGATTGGATTTTGTAGATTACCTAGCGTGTATATATATAGCAATAAATTAGATAAATTTGGTGATATAATTATAGGCCATTAAATTGTAGATCACGAATTCACACGCCAAGATTACGATCTATCTTTTTAATATATTTGGTTAAATTTAGATCAATTACTGCAAGCTAAAAGATTGTCATCCTATTTTGGAATCTAGGTCAACTGGTCAACCTGGACTAAAAATCATTTTCACGTATAATTACAATAAATTTTAAATTTTGATTCTTATTTGAAATACATATTTTGTGTCATTTTTTGGAAATCAATTTAAGAAATTTAAGAAATGAAATAAAACAGATGTTTATATTTTTTCACTTTATTTCTAAGATGTATAATTCATCCGCCTCAGCTCCGGACAAGCATCATTTCAGACTGTCAAATACAATTTACGAAGCAATCTTATTGTTCAATTTTAATATTGTATTTTTGAAACCTAAACAAGAATTACTTTTTTTTGATGAATACTAAGATTGATTTATCGTTTAAAATTCATTAACGAACAAAAACGTTAAAACTTTTATAGTAATAATGAATTGATTGATAAATTAGAGAATTTATATGGTTTATTGCATACTAATTACAAATAAACAAATTTAATAAATCCATCAAATAGATATACCGTCACACTATGAAAGATTAGATTAATAGGAGTATTAAATTTTTTTTAATTTATGATTGAACTGAATGAACAGGTTATTCAGATATAATTATTTTATGCAATTAATGGTCTTAAATGTTAGTATTTCATAAATGAAAAGTTTTAATAGAATAGTTACGTATATAATATATTCAGATGAGTAAATCAGAAGATGAAAAATGTATCAGTAAACGGTTTGTTCAGCTGATATGTTAAATTGGGTCTTAAATGATTTTTGAAAATTTAATATAACACGTTTTATTATACTAAATCGGGTTGTAAATGGTTCAATCTAAATAATCGATATGAGATAATTTTTTAATATAAAGGCATATCAAATTCGAATCCCTTTCAGACTAAAAAGTTTCAAAAAAATATTTCACTCTTAAAGAAAAAAAAACCTAAAATAATCCAAGCTTCATTATCGAGATGTCTTATAAAAAATCTGTTCGTGCATCAATACAGGATGGTAACAATCATGCATTTTGCCACGAAGCTTCAGCTGGAGTAAAGAGTGATTCGTTTGGCGCATCCGCAGAAGCAAAGTATAATAGTTCACTATACAGATACTGTGATGATGTTGGAGATCTTAAACTTTTAAATGCAGGAGTTGGAGCAAAAGCTGCAGCAAATACTATTGATGGCCTCAAAGCTAAAGTTGAAGCACGTTGTGATTTGGTAGATCTTGAAGTAGGAGGCTTTAAATCAAAATTTGGTATCAGTGCTGATACTGGTGGGTCAATTGGCTCAAATGGCGTAGAGGCTAAGGTTGCAGGTATTGGTTTTAAATTTGGTAAAGAAATGGGTATTAGTCTTCCTTTTGGAGAAATTTCATTTGATTTGGGAAAATTGTTTTAATAGTTTTACTTATTTTAAAATTTACTTTAACTTGTCATATTTTATATCAGTAGTAACACCTGTAATATTTTGATATTTGTTTACTACTATCTTTTATTGTTCTGTAAAATTTTTTTACTTTTATATTTGTTATTTTATCTTGTTATTAATAAAGATAAATTTTATTATTATCATATTATTACAACAATAATTTTATGGCGCAGTTTTCATTAATGACATGATAATCTTGTTTATTCAATAAAAACATCCAAGACGTGATATAATATAAATTGAATATTATGCTTTTAATTCACTGATTGATCCATGAATATTGTAATTAAAACTTATATAATATCATATATTCATATATTCATATTTTCATATACTATACTTTCGCTAAATCAGCATTCTCCCATTAATTAATTGTAATAGCATCATTATAATAAATAATTAGAACCAACCAAAATTTAATAAAAGCTAGTAACGCATCACGATCATCTTTGTTAGCGTTTACTTGTTTTTCTATTTCGTGCGATCTTTTTTTGTTTTTTTTCATTATTTTTTTTTTATTTTTTTATTATTATTATTTTCTATTATCAAACTTTTGCTTGTTAAAATCACTTTTCATCATCACAATGTTTCCTTCCAAAATCGTTTATTCATAATATTGTGCGCTCTTTCTAATTCTATGACTATTAATCCAAATTTTTTTCTTAATATTTACGAAACGTGTTCAATAATCATGATATTTTTCGATTCTTGATTACTCCTTATTCTATTAAAGCCATTATTAAATAATCCTTAAACTAATTCCTAAACCTTTAGATTTGCCAATAAATATTTTCAAATTTTCAAATCCTCTTTAATTAATATAATAAAATCAACATTTAATCAATCTCAAACATTTGTAATATCTTGAAGATTTTATGTAAACAATTCCCCCTTCATATGTTACCAAAATATTTTCTAGTACTAAATTTCAAATAATGTCATCTCATTATCTTCATAAATTCATATGTGATCTCAAATCTTTGGATATTAGATATTTGGTGAAATTATTATTTATTATATCATCAATAAAATTTAAAGATTTAACTTTACTACGTTTTATTATTTGTGAATAATAAATTATATTAGGTGGAATTATTAATAAAATTAATATTCGTCAAAGTATGTAAAATTGACCTATTAATATCGTAATCATTAGTTATTACAATTTACAATCATATCTAATATCAATTCCTTATATCTATCCATCCACCTAATAATGAATCATAAAACCATATATCTACTTTTAATGTAATTATAGCGTTCAAAAATAGAAAATATAAACATCTTATTATCATCATTAATATCCTCCTCTTTACCATTATCGTACTATACTTAATGATTGAACAACAATCAATAGTAACTAAGGCGTTAGATAAATCAAGGAATGAATAAAAAATTCTAAAAGTTTTACTTACCAAATTTCATGAAATACTTTTTCGGAATGTAAATACATTAATCCAACGAGTAATACCATGTGCAATTTGTAGTCTAGTAATGTACTAAAGTTTGATTTTCAAATAATCCCTCAATTTTCCTTCATAAAATTAAAAAATAATTACTATTTATTTAAGTCTATTATATTAAAAATTAAATATAATCGGTGAGTAAATTAGATAATATAAAATGCAATAATAAATTAATAGATTTACAGCAGATTTCTCGTTAACCCGGAAAACGATTGTTATTTGAATGATCAATTTTACGTTAAACTATTTAAAAAAAAAATCATTAAATTTCTTAATAATTAAAATTAATATAATTCATTACTTTAATATACACGATGATCAAATAGCTAGACATTTTGATACAGATATAATGTTGGAAAAAATACGTTCAAGATAAATGTATGAAAATATAAGATATGTTTAAGCATGTGCCCAATTTGGAAATTCGCTTTCAGAAATTCTTGAATTATTCAAAATTTTTTTAATAATAACAATAATTTTTTGATCCTCCCAATTAGCTTTTTTTTTTAAAAAAAAAAATATTTCATGAATTCTATGAATTATTATATCAATATTTTCCATCTAGATTACTAAATTTATTAAAATCAGAAATTCAATATCTTCCCCATTAATTTTTTCATCTACCCATTCTTACAAAAAAAATTTCATTATGAACAAGAATTTACTTATCTGTGATCGGTACCGAATATTTTTCTATTTTGGTTAGCGATCATCAAATATACCTAACCCTAAATTTTTGTTGACTAACCCCAAACTTTATTTGCCGTACTTGCCTACAATAAGCTAAAAAGAAAAAAATTTTTTTATTTCGATTTCTTTTAATATTTCCTTTATCACCAAGTTACGAAAAAGAAATTAAAAAAAATTTTTTATTATCATTATTCTTCTCGTTAATTTTATAATATGGAAAAAGAAACTTTCCAAATTATGAAAAGACCTATTGAAAGAGGGCCGATAAAAGTTCGAACAAACTTCTTTGAAGTTACTAAGTTACCGAAAACAAAAATTACACATTATGATGTAAAGATAAGTCCTGAGGTACCACGGCGATTAAATAGGGAAGTATTTAACCGTTTTTCGGAAGAAAACCAAGAAGCCCTTGGGGGTGTAAAACCAGTATTCAATGGTACGTATTCGATATATATATTGTTCGTTACAAATATCCAAATATTGAATAAAACAAAATTTGAATGTAATTTCATAATATAGCACAAAATTGTATTACGTATGCTTTTTTTAGAATTATCAATGCTATATAATGTCTAAATATATGCTTGTATTTAAAAGAAGGAAATGGATACTTACTAACTAATAGCAAATGTTTATAGGAAGAGCAGATATGTTTACACACAAGCAATTGCCATTTGAAAGCAAAAGTTTTGAAGTAAATTATCTTGTTTATTTTTTTACTTTTTTTGACTTTGAATTATTAAGTTTAATTATCATAATTAGGTGAAAATAGAGCAAGTTAACGCGCTCGTGACTAAAAAACGTCTACCTGAAATATTTAAAATTGCAATAAGAAAAATTGGAGTCATTGACATAGAGGACCTATTCCAATTTTTACACGGAAAAGGCAACTTAACCAATAATTGCCAAATGGGTAAGCTTTTTCTTTACTTTACTTTTCTTTCTTTAATAAAAGTGAACTTCATAATGGGTTATAATCATATTTATGTTATAAGCAATATATGCAGTGAACATCATTATCAGTCAAGAGATTTCTGCAAATCATCCTACTTTACTATATAATTTTTATACTCCGCAGGGAGCTACATCCCTCCATGAGGGCATAGAGGCTTGGCAGGGGTATCACCAATCAGCACATCCTACAAGGGGCAAAATGATGATAAACATAGACTTACATGCTGCTGCTTTCTACGAAGGTGGTCCACTTATTCAGATGGTTGCAAAAATATTGGGTCTTAGATCTCCCAATAATCTACGTAGACGATTATCAGATATGGAACATCAAAAAGTTGAGAAGAGAATAAAAAATCTTAGAATAAGTGATAATCATAGACCAGAAAATAAACAAAAATTTATGATTGAGAAATTAACTCAAAATTCAGCTTCTGACATTATGCTCGAAGTTATTGGTAATAAGATTGATCTGAAAACCTATTTCCAAAATATATATAATATACGTTTATTATATCCATTTCTTCCTTGCGTTGTTGTAAGGAAAAATATTTATCTCCCAATTGAAGTTTGTGATGTAATTCCGGTAACTATACATTAGTTCATCCATCTAGTGATATCATATGATTAAAAGAAATTTTTTATTAAAAAAATTTTTTATTACGTATAACAGGAACAACGATATTGGCGAAAATTGGATTGTAATCAAACAAATAAAATGACAAAATTTGCTCGTCAAAATCCGACCATTCGGGCAAATAGGATTCAGACTGGTCTCAATATATTAAATTACCGAGATAACAGATATCTTAAACAATTCGGGATGGAAGTATCAAGTGATATGACTGTGGTAGGTTTGAGATATTATTGCATCATAGGAATGTATCTCCACTAACGCGAGTTTACAGGTGAACGCTAGGATTCTCCCAACTCCAACAATTCAATACCATCAGTCATCAAGGAAGAGTCATGTCCGGCCGAATGGTGGATTGTGGAATTTACGAGATAAAAAAGTAATAAATGGTGCCATTCTCAGCTCATGGTCAATTTTGGCCTTTTTAAGTTATAAAGACTTACCTGACCAAGCTATTAAGCTTTTCATAAGAGAATTAATTACTACATGTCAAGATACAGGAATGGTAAGTTAAATTATATTAAGCCATTTTCGTATGAATCATTCAAATTTCTAATCACCTATAACAGAATATCTCAGAGAGGGATCCTCCTATATGTCATGCAAATCCTATAGGAAATACTGGAGAATCATTAAAAAAAGCTTGGTTGAAGGCTAGAGAAAAGGCGTGGGGAGTTAAACCACAGCTTATTCTTTGTATTCTCCCAAATACTGGATCAAATTTATATGCCGAAATTAAACGTGTTAGTGACACAATTATTGGTGTCGCAACACAGTGTGTCCAAAGTACACATACGAAAAAACCGGTAAAACAATATTGTGTGAACATTTGCCTAAAGATGAACGTTAAACTTGGAGGAGAGAATTCATTCCTCATTCCCGAACATATTCAATTCTTGGCAGATGAGCCTACTATTTTGATGGGCGCAGACATTAATTATCCTTCATCTGGTAAATTGTAATTTTTTTTTTTCACATGAATTATCTTACTAATATATTTATGTTTCTCGCATATCTCTTTAGGCTATAATGAAAGTCCATATTACGCTGCCCTATGTGGTTCCGTGAATGTTAAGGCATCACATTATGCAGCGTCAATTAGCGTTCAACCCATCTTTTCTGAAATAATAGTAGATTTGGCAAATATGGTTAAAGAATTGTTAAAAACATTTTATCAAACTTGTGGGTTAAAACCCAAAAAAATTTTATTTTACAGGAACGATGTTTCAAAGATTCAATTTAAGTATGTGCTAGAAAGAGAACTAACTGCAATTAAAGGTAATTGAAACATTTTATTCTTAGATTTATTCATGCCTTTTGTTAACCTATTTAATTACTACAGAAGCATGTCAAAGTCTTGAGGCTGATTATAAACCCACTATCACATTTGTTGTGGTACAGAAGAGACACCGCACACGTTTTTTTCCAATAGAAAGGAAAAATGCTGATAGATCAGGAAATTGTCTTCCTGGTACTGTTGTTGAAATGGACATTACACATCCATTTGAATTTGATTTTTGTAAGTAATTAAATTGTGTATTGACATAAATTTTATAGCATTTTCTAAATGACTTTAAATCCTTACCAGATTTATTAAGTCATGCTGGACTACAGGGGACGTCTCGGCCAACTTATTATCAAGTTTTATATGACGAAAACGGATTTGATGCAAATAAGTAAGTCAATTTAATCTAATTTAATAATTAATTGGTATACATAATTAATATATAATTGATAATTTAGGTTACAAACGTTATCATATAATCTCTGTCATATATATGCACGTTGTACACGTGCAGTATCTTTGGTAAGATTTTAAATTGCATTTGTTATCATTGTATGCAGTAATTAATAAATATCACATTATATTTAAATAGGTACCTCCGGTATATTACGCCCACCTAGCTGGCAAAAGGGCAAGACTTTACTCATTTCATTACACTGATACGGAATCATCTGAAGGTGGCAAAAATGTTGCAGTAGCAGTAAGGGAAGAGCTACGAAAGGTAAATTTAAGATGACTTGAATGTGAATTATTCTCAATTATCTCATTTCTATAATAAACTCTTCCTTTTAGGTTATGTACTTTATATAACAACATCGTATAAAATTATCAGAAATGAAAACTTACTTGCATTATATTTATCCAAAAAAAATATATTTAAATTTTAAATTTTATTTATTGATTTATTTTGATTTGTAAATGGTATTTAAACCAAAAAAAAAAAGTCTTATATTTAAATTGGATATAGAATATAATTGCCAACTGTTACATTAGTGTTATGTTTTACTTTGTTTTTATTTTTATGTATTTCTTAAATGTGCTTTAAGTAATTAACTTTAAATGATTAATAAAGAAGTGTATATTGCTAACAAAAAAACCTAATAAAGTTTTAGACACTCACTCATATATAACCCGCAAATTTTTATTTTTATTTTTCTTTTTTTAACTTAATGATAAAAGTAGTACGGTGTATCTGATCTTAGTATAGTATGATTTTGTAAAATAGTATGTATATTGCATTTTTTGTTAGTACGTATGATTTTAAATTGTACGTACCACTTTGATTGTTAAATATAGTAAAATTGTACGTATCAGGTATGTAGTGAAAAAAAAAATCATACATACGTATATAATCATGCTTTTTACCAGCCTCGCCATACACTTTTTCGATGGCGCTTGCTCATTCTTTGGGGGTGACGAAAACAAGTACAGTATGGAATCCTATGTATGTATGTATGGTGACCTATGTATGGATGTATGGTGGCCTATGTATAGTATATTACTATTGTGATAACGGTAATATGAAAAGTTGTAGAGTCGGATCAACCAACTGAGTATTGTATGATGTTAAAATTGTATTGAGTATGGTATGTATAATCATACAATACATTAATTATACAATACATTACATGTTAGTTGATATACTTATTAACATTTGAAATGTGTGATGTATAACTTTAATAAATAGATTTCAGTAAAATTATAACAAAAAGCAATTGAGTATGAAATTGAAATTTACAAAGTTATTAAAGAATAAATATATGTAAAAACTTAATAAATTATCAAATTTTAGATTTTTCAACGTAAGAACTATTTGTATTTTTGATTTATTTGTAAAATTCTATATACCGATATAATAGCGGTCAAAATAGCAATGATCTGCTAATTACTTCGTTTAATTTGTAAAAAAAAAGATTGCTGTTACCTAGACTATTTAGTAGAATTTAACACATGTTCTTTTTCTGCAAGTGATAATTCCATTTCACGAATTTTTGCTTCTTTTTCTCTTAAAATAAGTTCACGTTCCCTTAAAGCTAAAGCTCGTTCTTGAAATTCAAGCTCACTAAATTTTAAAGTAAATTCACTTTCTTTATCATCCCCTTCAGTACCATTTCTTGTTTTAATCTTTATGCTAGAAATCGTACATATATTCTCTTTATCATACTCTTCAATTTCAATAATATTTGTTTTAGTTTTCTTATTAGAACCTGTATGTTCATTTTGTTTACATTTGGTAGGAACTACTTTCGTCAACTTCTTAGCTATATAAATAAATTATAAATTAAAACAATTTAATGTTAATTACAATATTATTATTTAGCATTACAACTGAAATTATAAAAATATACTTACCATTACGTTTATTGGACATAACATTACGTGAAATCAGACCTTTATCACATCCTTTATTTGGTATATTATATTTTTGGTGAACATAAATGGTAGTAAATCTTTCTTTATCTAATTTTTGACCACTGTAATAAATTAACTTAATAAATAAATAATAATTTTTTAAAGAACAAATTATATATCTACATACTGTAAAATAGCCGTTAACAATTTAAGATCTCTTCCACGTAGATTGCTTAGCGCATGAGCCGATTCTGCTACATTTGTATTATCAGGTGATGTTATCCAAACATCATTAGCAATTTTTGACATGGATTTATTAAGTGACGCAATAACCCATTTTTGACGATAGAACGTAATCCAATCTAAAAATAATACCATTTAGTAATATTACAATAAAAATTCATTTATTAAGTTTTACTAACCTGCAGCATCCTCTTCAATTGCTTGAATATCATCAAATACTTGATTAATTGCACTTTCTGATTCAGCTGTAAGAAGTGCAACCATTTTGTTCTTTACAATATCATTGTAATCCTTTTCCCAAATTTTTCTAAATATTAATAATTAAATAAATTAGTTTTTTTGTTTAAATAAAGTTTATTTATAAATATAATATCTTTTTTTAATAGTTTTTCTTTAGACTTAAAAAAAAACAAATAATTACCTTTTATAATGGACTAAACAAGATCTAAAAATATGAACCAAATGTTCCTCCCAGTCCTTTGTATTATCAATTTCATTTAGAGCCAATCCAAGTCCTTTTGCTTGGGCATAATCAAGATCTGCAATGATGCAATTCCAACCAGATCCATGAATATGTTTAAACTGAGGGGGTAAACCCATTAATTGTAATACAAGATCAAATAAAACGTGAAAAATTCTTTGATACGCAATAGTTGTTGCACGATTAGTAAACACTCGGGCAAATGTAAGAACTAAAAATAAATATCAATTATCAATTAATATATATAATTTCAAAATTTATAGTATTAAAAACAATAAAATATATTAAATTATCATTAAATATCATATAGTAAGAAACTTACTCAAGTTATGTTCATTACTATAATAATTAATCTCAAATTCATTTATTTCACCCATTACACGCTTGAAAGACAAATCGATTTGAAAATGTTTGCACTTTATCCATTCATTTAATTGTTCAGAAGTTGTACAAAAAATTATTACATGTTCATCTTCAAAGAATTCTAATAATAAAAATAATATATTATTTCCTTAAAACTGTCATTAAATAAATTAAATACAAAAAGTAAAATTTACTTTTAATTTATACCTAAACGATTTACATAATCACGAAAATTATTAATATTACGTGAATAATTGTAAACAACTCCTAGCAATCCTTGCCCTTGTGGATGAATTTCTTTCTGAATCTTATCAAAATAATACCGAAGAAGATCAGTATTATTTAATGATGCATGTATATCAGAAAGATATTCAACGCCAAAATAAGTTTTAATTAAATTTCCTATCAAATAAAATACATACAATTAGTATGAATTTAAAAAATTTTTATAAAAATAAAAAAAAAAAATAAAAAAAAAAAAAAAAAAAAAAAAAAAAAAAAATAAAAAATTTTATTTTTTTATTATTTACCTGTTATAATATGAGTTGGAGTAACATCAGAATTATCATTATTTGCTTGGTGAATTAATTCTTGTAGACGTGTAAGAATAGTAACAGGTACTTGGTTTGGAGGTGGCGGAGGATGAGTATGAATTCCTTTTGATATAAGGATCACAAATGGACAGCTTTTAATATCAACAGGAATTAGTTTAGAAAATCTAACTTCACATAATTTTTTCATAAGCTTTCCTTGAGTAATGGTATTTTCTGAACGATGTGGATGTGCTGATAGTATACATAATTATGTGAATAAACTGAAGTAATTTAGCAGTAAAAGTTAAAAATTATATTAAAATTTAATGACTTACGACAATATATTCTTTTCGTACTATTGCTGAATACTAAATAACAATTATTTACTGGTTCATCCGTTTCTCCCTAGAGTATATATTAAATAAATTAAATAAGCAAATAAAATATTTAATTTAATATTCAAAATATTTATATCTAACCTCATATAATCCATTTAAAAGTTGTTGAAGTAAGTTAAGGTCTACATTTTCTTTAATACTAATAAACAGATGAAATTTTTCATTCATTCTCCAACCAGTACAACCAATAAAATATGATGGAGGTACAGTTTCATCATGAAGTCATAAACATTTTAATATAGGTTTTCCATTACATTGAACTCCATCACGCATATATCGACATTCAGTTTTGTATGCAGCTAAATATTTACTAAAATAAAAATAATAAGCAAATGATCGCTATTATGCAAGACAAGGATTATTGTACAACTAAAAATAGTATAAAAGACCTTAAGTTTCCAAATACTTACGCAAAAGTGTTATAATTCACATTATCAGTTGATAACTCTTTACTCATTCTTAAACGTAAATCTGAGTTAGGATCTACCAACTTGTGTTCCATTTCCCGAAGTTCTGGAACTGCAAATTCACAAATATTTACTCCGTGGCATGTTCTATCTTTTTTAATTACAGCAATATCACCAAGATATGTACAAGTTGTTTTATTTTGGCCACAAGGCAAACCCATAGAATACTGAACCTTCAAAAATAATGAAATAATTAGTATTTTTAATATAATATATAATTTAAAATTAACTGATATTACATCTTCAAATGCCATTTCTATATTTTGCCACCCTTCAACATGATAAATTAATGCAGTTCCTTCTTCACTAGTTGGTGGGTATTCTAATGGAGTTAATGAGTGAATTATCGTTTTAACTGTGATATTTTTTGTAATATATATTTCTGTATTATCTTCCTGTTTAATTAAGAATATATTTATATAATTGAAATTTTTTATTATTATAATATATTTACTTTATGAATATACACGTAAAAAGCAAGTTTACCTCCGAAACAAGATCTTCTTCATAGATGATATCTTCTTTATTAACAAAATTAGTATAAGACATGTTTATTTCACAGTGAAAAGTCATCTGTTTAACACGAAAACAATAAATGGTATTTAAACGCGTGAAAAAAAATTTTTCTCTTTCTTTATTTTACTGTATATCGTGTATAACTGACCAGATTATCAGATCATAAGATGATTTTATACTATATATATACTAGTATTAGTTTCACAAATCATGCTGTATAAACTAATTTCGAAAGTTGTCAAGTGATCATACACATCATCAATTTAATATCATACAGTACTCAGTTGGTTGATCCGACTCTACAACTTTCCGTATCACTCTTGTGATAACTATACCGTATGAAAATTAACACCATACATACCATACATTGACCACCATACATACATACATAGGATTCCATACTGTACTTGTTTTCTATATAATCTCATTCTTTAAAATATGAAAATAAAAATTTAAACATAATTATGTGTTGTTTCACTAATAAAAAAATTTAAATCATACTATCATACATACATATTATTATAATATATATTGTGATAAGTATATATGTACCATAAAAAAATCATACATACAAAGTAAAATTCCACAAACATACTAATATTATATATAATCGAATATTCAGACCCCAGAAATATAGACTTTTCGTGCGTAGGTAGATTTCTTTTGATCCTTTTTATCTCTTTTAACATTCGCTAATTACCCCTATTATTTTTTAAAAAAAAGATAAGTAAAATATAACTGACCATTTATAATTGTAAGACCTTGGGACCGGAGAGATCAATAATCATGACTATCCTTAGTTACTCACTTATTTGTACTTCCAAAACACTCATACTGAATTTTGAAAAAAGTATTGATAACAGAAAAATGGGGAAAAATAATATTAAAAATATTGTCTAAGTGAGATAAATATATTGCATGTCTCCGTTATTTGATTTAGGTGCTCCTAAAAGTATAAATACGATCAACATAATTTAGCGTGATGCACGAAATCTATGAAAAGATATAAATAAGCAAACCATTTCTTAACAAAGAAAAAAAAATAAAACAATCAAAAAAAAAAAAAAAAGAAATAAAGCTTTTCACATAAATCAGACTTTTTAAAATCAATTATCCTTCAAATTTCCTAAACATAATAAATCAGACTGAAGTTATAAAAGTTTTACATATGTTTGGAAATTAAACTATTGTTTAACCATATAAAAATTTTTTAGAAAATTGATCTATATGTCAAAGTTCTTCCCGGAAATTTTTTTATAGGTAAACAAGTTAACAGGAAGTCCTAAATAAATCCATTTGAGGCATTTGAGGCAATATCTTAAAAATTAGAAATAGTAATAATAACTGGTTATTTATTGTTATAAAATATTCATATAAACTAAGTAGTTAAAAATTTTTCATTTATTGCTTCTTGTTTATATATTAAAATTTAATAATATTATTGTTATGGTTATTATTTATTAATTTCAATCATATTAATCATTCTTGATTTGTCTTGCGTAATTATTAATTAGGAACAGTTTTATCATTTTGTTTTTTTTTAAAAAAATAATAAAATAATAAAATAATAATAATTAATTTTTTAATTATTAGACTTTGGTAATAATTAATATTAAATAAATAATTTTTGTGAAAAAAATTTGTCTAACTTTTTCTAATTTCTCGAGCACACCAAATTTCCCATTAATTGGCTGATCATGATCATATAAAATAATAATAGAATATTTTATTAATAAAAAATTGTTTCTTAAAGTTTAAGAAAATAGATTTTCTTTGAATATAATCAATTTGTTAGTCATACATGACACATATGCATGAATTATAGTTCAAAAAAAGTTATAATAAAGAATGCTATATAAGTAAATCGAATTTTTTTTTCTTGTTTTGCATTGTTCGCGCCTCAAATGATAAATTTCAACTAATTATTCATTCAAATGTTATTTATAGTCACAATTGGAAATTTAAATCATCATGGACTTTATATTCTATTTTTAATTTAATGATATTATATTCATTACATAGACAACTATGTTTCCTAACAATTCGATAATAAGGAATTGGATCAAAAACGTGATGTATTTGGCATGTGAACATCTTTGGTAATGTAACTTACTATTTAAAATTTTAAATAAAAAAAAATTAATTTAACACAGCAACATGCCGAACCCAACCTGGAACTAAAAAGATGAAAAAAAAAAATTATTTAGCGAAAAAATACTGACAAAAAAAAGGTAAATACAAGACTGATCAGATGAAAAAAAAATCAGTAATAATAATTAATCTAAAGAAAAATACAAAATGAAGTGAAAAATTTTTTTTGATTTTTACCGTCATAATGCGAAAACTATTAAACCCGATCTGGACAATAATCAATAAAAAATAGTTAAATAAAAAATGAAAGGAAAATACAGAACTTGGCGCTTACTGTAGTACGCAGTAACTCGCCAAACCCGATCTGTATATATAAAAAGATAAAAAAAAAATAAATAATAATTTAAATAGTAAAAAAAAATTATGAAATAAACAAAAGAAATCTATGCAGAATCTGTCCTAAAAAGATAAAACCACAAAATAGTAAAAAATGATTATTTGATAAAATAATGATCCAAACCTAAAGAAGAAAAGAATGAAAATAAAAAAAATGAAAACCAGTCAGTCTTAAAAAACTGGAAAGAAGAAAAGGGGAAAAAAAAGATTAGAAATTCAAATTTAAGAAACTGGTAAGAAGGAAGAAAAAAAATATTAGTAAAAAATCTGGTCTCAAAAAACTATTTTATTCTATTCCGGTTCCTTTTGGAACTGGATCTTTTTTTATTTTTTTTTATTAAGCAAAAAAAAAAAAAGAATCCGGTACTTACCATCTTACCGTCTTACCGTGGTAATTCTCCAGGTTACATAATTTTTGAGTGGTCGATTTTATATTATTATCTGCTAGAATGTAAATCATTTTTAATAAGAGCGTTTAACATCCCGTATCATGTTTTATATCATCTAAAGATTACGAATTAAGATTCATGATGAAATTAATAAAAAAATTATATTTTCATGATTGCATGATTAATAATTTTATAAAAGTGATATTTCTATCATTTTCAGCAAAATGGTTTCGGCGAAATGGCCCTTCGGCGAAATGGCTTCGGCGAAATTGGTTTTGGCGAAATGTCCTTTCGGCGAAATGGATGATTCGGCGAAATGGCTTTCGGCAAAACGTACCGTAACCCATCTAAAGATCTTGGTCAAATCTAAAAATCAAATTTTAAAATTGATTAGTAATCAAAATATATTTCATACTTGCTAACGTGTCAACCCAGAACCCAGATTGCATTGGTATGTTTTTAATAATTATTTTTCATATTTTCTTTAGCATTATTCAAATACTAATTACTTTTTTTTTTTCTAAAAAAAACAATTAAAGTACTTTTGTTTCCCTTTAGGTTTAATTAATATTAGTAATCAAGAAAAAAGGACGTGAGAGAATCATGTGACCACTTACAAGAATCCACAGCCTGATCCAACCCAATAAAGTTAGGAAAAATTTTAAGAAAAAATATCAGTAAAGCAATAATTTGAAATTAGGTAATTTTTATTCCAAAATTTCCAATTTTTTGAGTTAAAAGACAATAAATTTTTTGCTTAAAAAAAAAAATTAATCATTATGGCGTGATAGTTTGACAGTGAATTTGTTTAATACTTTTATAATGATATATAAATTGGTCAGTCTTTTAGGATCATGCTAATTCTGACGGACTGATATTTTTCGTTAATGGCTAGATATTAAATTCTTTTAATATTAAATTAATTATTTTAACAAGCTTTAAAATCAAAACATTAGTGTAGACGTTTAAATTATTTTTGTTTCCACAGAAAAAAACAATTTCAGTACAACAGACGTTTAAACTATATATATTATCATGATCTTACCTGAAGTCTGAACGACGCGATAACTACTATTTAAAGGTTTGCTTCAAATTGAGTTTCACTAGTTATTTCACTTTCTAGTACATCTTCAGTTATGTGTTATTTTCTTATTTAAGACAATTTAAGTCATTGAGCTTCAGATTTTATCTTTATTTATGAAGACATTTAAAATGTTTGGAAATACATAGAATAAATTATTACCAGATGATATTATCTAATTTAATTATGGCTAATTTATAATGATGATTTTTTATTAATTATTAAATATAACAATTTAAATTTTATTTTAACCAATATACCCATAAAAAGATAACAGTAATAATAAAGTCATAATTTTTGAGTTTTGTAAGTGTTCGCATACCCAACCTTATTGGAACTAGTAGTGACTGTAGTGTTGCCTGATCGTTTATATTGTTTTCAGTTGCTATTCACATTCCCGAGAAAAAATGTCCATAATGTATTTCTGGAATAATTTTTCCAGTAGTAAGAGAGTTGTATTATAACTTTTGGTTTGACTTTAGCGTTTGGTCATAAATTACAAGTGTTAAAAAAAAATATTTGAGTATAAAAAAAGGGTTGACTTATTTTTTTATATGTTTATTATCCCTCGTATATGAGATTACGAATTGATAATAATAAATTAACTAAAATTGTTTGCTAAAATTTATATAATGAGATTATTAAAGTTAATAATTTCTAACCCAGACCTGTAATAAATAAACTACTTAAATGAAATCATTATATTACTTAGTAGGCATTGAAAAGAATGGCTGGACTTTTCTTTGAATATAAAATCATAAAATTAAATTGGATGATTTAGTTATTAATTATTATCATGTAAAAAATTGCTTTACTTGAATGAGTTATCACTATAAATTTCGTTATCATATGACTTTTCCCTTTTTGCCGATCCGGAATTGCGAATATGATGAATATGGTAATAAACAAAAATTATCATGAACTCTAATTTTACAGTTACAAAATTTTTGATTAATTATGGGAATAACAAATAAATATTTATGAAATTAAAATCAAATAATTCATCGTTATACTAAAGTACTATTCGGAAAAAATTTTTTGGTCATTAGTTATTATACATTTGTAATTAGCAGAAA